ATAAAGTTATATTCTTTACTCCAAGAGATGTTTTTTTGACCTTTGGAAATTTAAGGGTGCATGGATTTCAACCCCAAAAATCCCCACTGGGGAATTCTGGGTGTTGAAGTCCATGCATCTTAAAGTTGCCAAGGTCAAGAAACACTGCTCTAGACTCACAGAACATGGTGGTGGTGGGAGATACAATGGCTTCCCTTCATCCTTGCCTGAGAATTCCAGCTATCTTGATGATAATTAAAATTAAAATATAGACAAAAAGAATGGTTTACTGATGTGTCTTTCACAAATAACATACACACACAAACCTGTCCAGCAGACATCTTAGGCAGACAACAAGCAGAACCATATGTTTGGCAGAGGTTCACAGTTGTTATTTATATTACATTAGCGCCTACAGGACTCCTAATCAGTGAGTCATGTTGTCTGGCACAGGGTGCTGATTTAATTAAAAGGCATCCCAGCTTCTTTGGCTTTGTAAAAAAGTTTACAGTACAAGTCCACAGCTATTGCAGAATTTCTTTGTAACAACACTACAGTGATTGGTTTTCAAAGACGTAGCTTTTATACTTTATAGACTGTCAGCTGGAACTTTTGAGAAACCAAAAGGTGCCCAGATGAACCCGCACATAAAGATGTGGCTTAAAGCAAATAAAATTCACATGTTTGGAAGGACAAGTATCATTTGCAAAATGTAATGAAAATGTCAGAACAGGGATGGCAGATTCCAAACATCCCACAACACATAAAGACTCTCATGTAGTTGCAACCTTCATTTATTTTACTTATGCTTAAAATTTGGGTGTGTGTCAGAACGATCAAGATGGTGGCTACGATTGTATGGTCATGATTGCCATCTGGACTTTTTTAAACCTCCTGTGGATACTCTGGATGCCAAACTTCAAAACCAGGTTTTCTGAGGGTGGCTGAAAGTGCACTCCCTTCCATCTGAAACAGGGAATCTGAGAGGATTTGGCTCTGGAAGCATCTCTGTGAGAACATTAAACTGTGCTCCTCCATCCATACTCAACCTTGCATGCAAATATTATAAGATGCTTCACCAATAACCTCATTTTCAATTTAGAAACTGACTCCAGGTAAGTGAAAATTCTGTCTGGCTGAAGAAGAAATGTGACGTATTTAAACAAGCAAATATTTGCATGTCCATGAGATTATGTGTTAAATGTATTACAACTTTTGGTTTCACGATGAAAGGCAAGGGAATCACTCGTATAAAATGTGTTTCCAGTTATTGGTCCATTTTCTAAGAGTAAAGCAGAGGTCAACAACTATGCAGTTTATGCTGTCTTTGGGCACCAGAAATAGCCATGTAATTAATAGTAAGGCATTATCTCCATCTATGTGAAGTAACTCCTATTAATTTCATTGATTGCTTTAATATTGTACAGCAAGTTGGTGCTGAGTGGTCAGAAAGGAAGTAAATAGTGCTAGAATTTGGTGAACATGAAGAAAACATAAAAGAAAAGTCAGACTTACCATTAAGCCATCGGGAATCATGCTGCTCAGTCCGGATTGGGTGGTGGTGCCCCAGAGTGCGGAAAATGGCAAAATCTCTCCCCATAAAGTCTGCTGCTGTTCCTGAATAAAGTTCACCATCTGTAATATGGAATTGCACTAGGTCAGAATTAGTGAAGGAACAAACCTACCATGATGATTTCTTAAGATACAGCAATGAAGCTTCTAATGCTCAGACGTGTACTTTCCCCTGAAAACGTGAGCCAGGGATAAAATCCGTGCTACAGTGGTATGTCACTTTAGGAATGGAGGAAAAGGACTCTGTCATGTGTTTACTTACAAATACACAAATTTGTATAGCAAAGTAGACACATTCATATTAGTATAGCAGAGTAAATGCATGGTCACTGTTAGTTTCCTCCTGCAAAGCAAACAGAACTGTGGAGATGCCGCAAAGAATGACCAGTTACAAAAGAAGGCTGGGCCTCTAGACCTGGAATAACTTTCAGGGGGAAAGTTGTCATCCTTACACAATAATTTTTCCACATTAAAATCCCCCTTCTTCTATTACTTTGACCTCCGCTGGAAATGTAATCCAGGAAACCCACTTGAAATTAAGTGTCCTGTCTTCCTGTTACGGATAAAAAGTCTTATTTCTAATATATCCACTCTCATATTTTTACAAAAGATCATTTAAGCCATTTTTGAGAGAGTTATTAGCTTAACACATTAAGGACATAAGATACTTGGCATTCACAACATCTCTTGCTATATCCCCAATAATGAAATGGACTGGATAATAAATATAGACTGGATGAGGCAACTCTTAGAGGTGAATAATGGCTTGAATGACTGCAGTCAGAGAATACTTATAAATGGCTCCATATCAGCAAGAAGAGTAGCATGGAGTGGAGTGCTGTTTTGTTTGTTTGCTTGTTTGCTTGAACCTTGTTATTTGTACTGATAGGTTAAAGAAAAGGTTTTTTTAAAAAAAAATTCAGTCCAAACACCACTGACAACTTTGCTTTCAAAAGCTGTGTCCTCTTTCTCCCCCAACACCCATCCAAGAGCTGTTATATTCATGGTTCTCCCTCCCCTCACGTAAAGTAGGTGACTGTCATAAGTCCTTAAGGGCTTCCTAGGTTTCAGCTGATCCCAGATATCTTGCTCTGTACAGAACTCCCTGATTTCTAGAGGGGTGCACTAGTGTCAGTAGGGGTGAAAAACTTGAAAGTTATGGTTCTGCCTATGGCCAAAACCACTGCACCTGCAGGAGGCCCACTTGAGGGTGGTACTGAAAGGCTGGGGTCCGCAAAACCTTGTCCAAAGCCACTCAAGTCTTGTCTATATCTATATTGACTCTAGAGGAAATCTGGGTGGGCAGCTGAAGGCTTACTCATGTCCCAAGTTGGCTGAGATGGTGAAAGTGAGTGGTGTTGCCCCAGGGGTGGCAAGTGGTGGAGGAACACCGGGGGAAGCAAACTGGTCAGGTGGAGGGAAGAGTCAAGGAGATCTAGGAAAGCTTAAACAGGAGGCCAAAATTAACAGGATCAGACTTAATAGGGAGAAATGAAAAGTCTTGCATCTGTGGAGAAAAAAAATGAAAGTATATGGGAGACCTGGTTTGGAAGTAGGACATGTGAAAAAGGTCTGGGTGTTATAGTAGACTGCAAGTTGAACATGAGCTAGCAGTGTAATGCAACCATTCAAAAGGCAAATGCTATTTTGGAAAGTGTTAACCAAAGTCCAGATCAGCCAAAGTCCCAGGCTGTTCTGTCTTGGTCAGGCCCCACTCAGAATAGTGTGCCCAGTTATGGGCATCATCACTGCAGCTTAAAACAAGACAGTTAAAAAAAAAACTGGAACAGGTTCAGAGGATCAAGATGGTGATGGGGCTTGAAACTAAGCTCTATAAAATATGGAATAAGAACTGAGTACTTTCAGCCTGCAGAAGAGAAGAGAAATGGCTGTTTTCCCCCTCTTCACCCACAAGGAGACAACTGGTCTGCAGGTAGAGTCTTGTCTAAAGAAAAAGACATTTGTGTTTCACAGTGGGGAAATGAGCACTAGAAAGGTGGTTTATATGGACAAATAGGATGGTTTAAATAAATAGAAAATAAACTGGAATGGAAGTAAATGTGCTTCCCACCAGCCTTGTTTTGACACTGGAGACTTCATGGAGCATTAAAGAGCTTTGAGAAGTAGGTAGGGTATATAAGTACTGACACACACATACACATCCTACTTCTCAAAGTTCTTTAATGCTCCATTAAGTCTCTCTCTCTCTCTCTCTCTCTCTCT